TTGATGACCAATTCTAGTCAATCCACGTGGTTGGGAGAATAATCACAAAATTCTTTGACATGCACGTGACCTTTATATCTTTTGCGTTAATTACAATTAGCCGATAAAGCCCCTCAAAACAAGGTGAGATGTTCTTTTCCGTTTAATGAAGATTAATGATATATTTTTAGTAATAATATTTTAGACATGAATAATGACCTGAAAGCATCTAGTATTCGACTTTGAACAGCATCTAGTTGTAGTTTCTTTGTTGATCACAATCACTTATATTTTATGGCTATTAATCATATCAAATTTTGACAAATATATATTCTTTGTTAGGACATTTCGTGTTGGGTTTAAGTTGTAAACTCTGAGATAATGTTTAATTAATTAATTGACTAGATCAATAAACTGCAATGTCAATGGGCAGGATTACAATGACAACTTATGCTGGTGGGATGAACCACTGGCGAATTCAGAACTTTTTAAGTCGAGTGCTCAATTATTTTTAATCTAAAGTTTCTACCCCTTGAAATTGAGTGCTAATTGAATCAATATAAATATGGAAGAATTACTCAAATAGCCTCCCATGCAACCGTTTAAACTAAAAATACCCAATGGAACCGATAATTTTTTTTACATATAAGCCCGGGCACACACGCGACACCTCGTGCACACGTCTTTCACATAATTCAAATAATGCAATTAGACCAAATCCTACAGGGTAGTTTTCCCTCCACAAAGTTAGGCAAAATACCTCTCAAAGAAGCTAAATCAATCCACTAATAATCCCTTCCCACGTGAATCAACCTCCGGACAGCTCAAATCTAGCCAAAATAACTTAATATCATAAATAAAAGTCATAAGAAACGATTCCAAATAATAGGTTTTCCGATAAAGTAGTCGACTACTTGCATGTTGCTCCGAACATCACCAACACAAGCTTTTTTTTAAAAAAAAAGACTAGATTATAGGTGTTAAACGGGTCGGGTCAGCCCGGTTACGGACCGGCCCAGACCGGTTAAAACCAGAACCGGCCTGGACCGGTTAAAGGGGGCTGGATTGGGCTGGGTTAGGGGGGACACACGCGTTGCACCGTTCGCATTTTAAATACCGGTTACCGGACCGGTACAACCCGTTAGATGAACAGTGCCGTTAAACAGGTTAACCGGCCCGGCCCAGACCGGTTTAATGGTAAATTTTTATTTTTTATTTTTTTAACTGGGCCCAGATCTGACCGTTGGCAACGGTCCATTTCAGAAAATGGCCGTTGCCCAACGGCTGAATGGCACAATTAGCCCAATTTTATTTTTTTTTAAAAATTAAACCCCCTTTGAAAAACTATAAATACCCCCCCCCCCCTCTTCCTCATTTCTTCACCCATCTCTCAATTCTCATTTCTCAATCTCAATTCTCAAATCACAATTCAAGTTAAATCATGCCTCGTACTTCTAGAGTGCGCTCATATGTTTGGCAACACTTTGAGGTGGTAGAAGAAAATGAAGAAGGTCAGAAGTAAAGTGCAACAACTGTGGTCTCATTTCTCAATCTCAATTCTCAAATCACAATTCAAGTTAAATCATGCCTCGTACTTCTAGAGTGCGCTCATATGTTTGGCAACACTTTGAGGTGGTAGAAGAAAATGAAGAAGGTCAGAAGTAAAGTGCAAGAACTGTGGTCAAGTCTTAAATCTTCGTTCAACATCTGGCACAGGCAGTTTAAGGAGGCATATAAAGTATTGTCTTGAGTGTCCTCCGGAATTCGTATTTAAGATTTTAAGACAATTTGTGTTATTTTAAAATTATTAGACATATTTATGCTTAATGTTTTAGTTTATTTAGATTAATTTGAAGTATTATTAATTATTATGCATGAAAATTTAGTTTTACTATTTTTTTGTTAATTTACTTTTTAAATGCAAATTTTAATTTTGTAATTTTGAAATAAATATATGTAGCACTTGCAATTTATAAGTGCAATTTTTTTTCCATCTTCCTCGTATTCTTTATATTAATACAAAGTATTAATATAACTTACAATAGTTATACAAAATACAAAAAAAAAAAAAAAAAATACTAAACTCGGCCCGGCCCGACCCTGCTCCCTCAACCCGTAACCCTTACGGTTCAATTTTTACCTGGATGAACCCGAACCCGTTAAATCCGGTAAGCCCCAACCCGTAACCGGCCCAGACCATAACCCGTACGGGTATAAAAAATCCCAACCCAGTCCGGCCCGGCCTACCCGTTTAACACCCTTAGACTAGATCCATAGACTTAGTGTTCTAGCTAGGAATTAAGTCTAATTTGCATAAATGAATTCGACAATCATCATGGTCCATGTAATGTGTTTTCCCCAAAAATAGAAAAGACATTCAATCGCTACTAGAAATCAGGTAAATATCAATCAAAAAAACCGATCAACTTTGGTCAGTTATGGCCAATTACCGAGCAAATACGATCAAATACGCTTGGACAGTATTTTGATGGTCGTTTTAATATACCGACCAAAGTTGGTCGGAAATTACCGACCAACGTTGGTCGGTAAATTAAATTAAAAAAAAAAATTGCGGAAAAAACCGATCAAAGTTGGTCGGTATTTTAATTATGTAATCAAAAGATTCACCGTCTGGGAATTGAACCGGGATGTATACTGTGGCAGAATATTATTCTACCACTAGACCATTGGTGCATTTTGTTTTAAGATCGTCTTCTTTTTTTTATTTGTACTCTTTAATTGTATTTTCGTATGAAAATAATCGACCAAAGTTGGTCGGTTTTATTAAAAAATAAAATTACCGACCAAAGTTGGTCGGTTTTTTAAAAGGCAGAATAGCCTAAGAGGCACTTATACTTATACCGTTTTGACATCCCGGTCCCTATACTTCATAAGTTTTCATCTAGACACCTCAACTTAGTCAAAACTTATATTTTAAGCACTTCTGACCGTTGACCAAGCTTATGTGGCATTTATTTTAATGAGTATAATAAAGTGTGTGAATACACGCTTCTAAAAGCGAGTGAAGAACGATTATTTTTGTATAAATAATAATAAAATCAAAAGAAAAATATAACATAAAAAAGAAAGAAAAGGATTAAACTATCCCCCTCCCCAACGCCCAATTCGGCTTTTGTTCCTCCCTCAACCCCTTTTCCCGCCAATATTCTTTGCCCTCCCCTTCAGTAGCCTTCCCCTTTTCCAATCTTCTTCATCCCTTTCCTTTCCCATTGTGACTCCCTTTCTAGCCATCTCATTTTTATTCCCTCATCATTCATTTTTATCACCTTCCCACCACTAAACAGTGATGCGCCAGAATCACAAATGTAAACCGTCGTGCTACAGTTAGGAACTCACAAACCAGATATTGAGATTAACGTTAAAGCGAATTGTGCCGCAACGATGAGAAGGAATCCGAAGAAAGCTTCGAGTGGCGCCGATGGTGATTGTTGAAGTGATGATTCTTCTTCCTTTTTAAGTGGGGGCAGTTTAATTACTGGAGTTGGCTTCTCTAATGATTTCGTCGGAAAAAAAGCAAAGAAAAGCAAAAAAGAAAAATAACAACAGGGAGAAGATAACGTTGTTCACAAAACGTAAGTTCTTGAAATTGAAGAACAAAGGAGGGTTTTTTCTATGGGTGAATGACTTGGATAGCCTTGAATGGCTGTCCCGTTTTGTTAAAGATTGTCACCATTTTGTGCATTTTGTGATGGGACTTATTGCTTATAGAGTGGACACCCATGGGAGCTGTTGGGTCTAAGCTTGATGGCATATAAAGTTAATGATGGGGAAAGAGAAAATAATAAAGATTTTTTAATAGATAGCATATAAAAAATGATATGGCAAATGATGTGGATCTGATGTGTCATCCACGTTAAGCGAGTGAGCAACACTCATGGTCGGAGGTGCTTAAAATATAAGTTTTGACTAAATTGAGGTGTCTAGATGAAAACTTATGAAGTATGGGGACCGGGATGTCAAAACGGTGTAAGTACGAGTGCCTCTTAGACTATTCTGCCTTTTTAAAATGATCGGCCGAATTTACCAACCAAAGTTGGTCGATTTTTTTAATATTAATTATTTTTATTTTAATTGCAAAAACCGACCAAAGTTGGTCGGTTTCTTGAAAAATAAATTTTGCGAGACTCAAAAATAGTTTCTCGCATTTTTGCGCCAAAGAAAACCAACCAAAATTGGTCGGTTTCATAAAAAAGATTAAAAATTAAAATATTTTGGCCGGTTTCTTTACCGACCAAAGTTGATTGGTTTTTCTTGGTCAGTTTTTGCCGAGTTTCTAGTAGTGAATATATTAACGGCTTGAATTATTGGATTCCTTCTACGTAATATACGTGACAAAACATGATTTTTCTTATCGAGATATGGTCCAACATATCATTTGTTCTATTTTACTTTCTTTCCTTTATAATCTATTCAAAAACCAAATAAGATATCTCGTTATTCGAAAACTTATTGCTCCTATTTCATTTAATAAATATATTTTATCTATGGAGAGTCAGTTTAATTAATATTTGAAGCTAAATTAGATTAATTCAACTCATTAAAATTAAAATTTAGATATTTAAAAATTATATGAAAAATACTATAAGGTGCAATTCTTCTCACGTCAATATGATAAAAAAAAAATACATTTCAACATGTTGATCAAATTTCAAACAGTTATATGCAAGCAAAGGGAGGTTTTAAAAAATTTATATGCAAGCACAACTTCAATTACTTTGAACTTTCTCTTTCCTTTTTTTCCTTTCAAATACCTTTTTATTTTTGGGGTATTATCACTTTTAACCCGTGCCAGAAATTATTTACATCTTCTAGCCGAAAAAGTATATAAAATTTATATAATTTTTGTATATAATATACAGAATGCATATATATAAAAATTTTATACGTTTTTCGACTATTATTTTTACAGCAGCTATACAGTATCGTTTTTCCTTTATTTTTACCAATTAAAACTAAAGTATTTTCTAAACACGTACATAATTTGCTATAAATAGCAGGACTGCTCACCACTATCAGTCCATCGACCCTAGTAACAAACTTTAGGCATCAGCGCCTCCCAAAAATGGAAACCACAGCCACCGACGCCGCCACAACCACCACCGTCAACGGCGGTCTTCACTCCTTCAAAGTGAAACCTCTACAGCTTATCCTCAACCGTGCATTTGCACTTATTTACCTTTTTGCCATCCTAGCTCTTTTCTATAACCACTCACTCAAACTCTTAAACTCCACTTCCTTTATCTCTTTCTTCATATTATTTTTAATATTAATTTCCGATATAATACTAGCTTTTATGTGGTTAACAATTCAATCTTTTCGTATGTGTCCACTAACACGTACTGAATATCCCGAAAAACTCAAAAAATTTAGTGCCGGAAAATTTCCGGCACTTGATATATTTATTTGTACGGCGGATCCTTATAAGGAGCCGCCGTTAAACGTCGTGAATACGGCGTTATCAGTTATGGCGTATGATTATCCGGTTGAGAAAGTTTCAGTTTATGTTTCTGATGATGGAGGTTCTGAGCTTACGTTGTTTGCTTTTATGGAAGCTGCAAAATTTGCTGTATTTTGGTTGCCATTTTGTAGGGAAAATAAAATAATTGAAAGGTGTCCAGATGCATATTTTAGTGCTAATTATTCTGAAAATTCTGAGACACAGAAAATTAAGGTATGTATTTCGTTTTTCTCTCTCTCTTTTTTTTTTAATTTAAAAAAAAAGTCCATTTTAAGTTTTATTTTCAGCTGTTTCAGTATGTTTTTATGTTTGAACTGTGGATAATAAGTGGAATTACATGTCTTAAAAGTAAAACATATAATTTGCTATTCAGAATAATTTACACTCCTAGTATAAATTAATCCTACAATCAATATATTACCTTTACGAATTATCTTAACATGATATGTAGGACCCGTTTGGCTATAAATTTTGTCAAAATTTATTTTGGTTTTCTTTTTTGAGTAAATACATGTTCGTTCATAAATTTTACCTATATTTTAACAAATTCCCAAGAACTGGTTTTGGCCCAAAATATTACTGTGGCCAAACGCTAGCATAAATATTTCGTGATCACAGATAAGTTAAACCATACCAAAAATACTGTCTTTTCCAGCTGATTAGAGTTTTGAGACATGTATATGCACTATTCTTTTATAGGGTATTAGATTAAGTTTGATTTTAACAAAATATGCTTGTTTGCCTGCAAAATGCTCATTTATATGTTTATCGTTTTGTTTGTCTTTTATTTATTTCGATCAGTCTTTGAGATAAAATATCTAAAATATTGAAACAAATATAAAACTCTTAGCATATCGATGTCTAATCATGATTCTTCTTTAACACCGTTAAACTCAAAATATAGTCCTCATTAACCTAAGCATGCACATGTACATTAAACGGAATATATATATATATATATATATATATATATATATATATATATATATATATATATATATATATATATATATATATATATATATAT